CAAGATTCGTGTAAAACTTCTGAAGTCTAATCTCCCCTGCACATGTTCAATTTGCAATCACACAGCCCTTTCTTGCTAGCGAATGGTCCCATCCCTTCGGGAACCATGGCAATGGAAGAACTCAGACTCTTATCAGAGGACAATTTCCCTTCCCCCTGATGAGCAGGACAGGACACATCAGAGTGGTTCCCTCGAACCCTCAGTATGAATGGGAACTTCCATTTTGGCTTGTGAGAACATGGTGGAGAATCGGAATGTTGAGGATAATGGCAGTTCGGCTTCGCTGACAGTATGGAATTCTGATCAATCTGCCTCTCAATTTCAAGGACAGAATTGTGGAAATGGAGGATCTCTCCAAAAATCCATACTTGTAAAATCTCATAAAAAGAAAAACCATCCTATGTCCTTATCTCAATTTCACGAATCAGTGCCAGAAAAACCTGTATGTAAACCTTTCTGTATAAAGCATAATCCAGACATTGAGTATGATCCAAACGAATCTGCATCGGGATATCTCCCTTCTGCATTCAATGGACATGCCTTCAATTCTTATGGCTGCTACCCCTTGGGTGTGCCCATGTCATTTGCAAATCTAAAAAAGAACCTTCCAAAGGGTGAGTCATTATGGATGTTGGATTCTGGAGCATCACATCATGTGACTCCTTTTAAAACTGATTTCCTCACATATCGAGAATTTAAAAATCCACCTTTGGCCTCTACTGCTGGTCTTAAAAAGGTTCAACTTCTCAGTGAAGGAACAGTGGTTATTTGCCTGGAAAATGGCAGTAACCTGCCCTTGCATAATGTTGTATACAGTCCTCTCTTTTCAAAGAGATTATGCTCAAGAAATGCACTCCTGAATAATGGGTATCGGAGCACTGCAACACTTACTGGCAAGACAATCAGAGCACCAAACAGCTGGATTGTCCTAGAAGCAAAAGTAGCTTCTCCAACTTCACCTCTTCATTGGTTTGTGGGCATACCACTTCCACCTACAACTGCCTATGGGGTCCTTTGCCCTTTGGTCAAGGAATCTCAAGAGTCTCTCTGGCATAATCACATGTGTCACCCTGCTCAAGCAGTTCTCAGACATATGCACTGATTAGGCCTGAAACAAGATATACAAATACAGGGGGAGACTTCCTCTTGTAAAGGTTGTGCACAAGGCAAACTTTCTTCTGAAGCTTTTAAACCATCATGAAAACGAGCAACTAAACCTCTCAAGTTGGTCCATGCTGACCTTCTTGAATTACCTGTCGAATCATACTTTCGGTCCAAATATATTTTAACCCTCTTGGATGATTATTCATCTTACGGTTTCTGTCTCTACCTCCAAAACAAATCTGACACTTATACTGCTTTTGCCAATTGGATGGTATCTATGCAACATACTACTGGACATCATCTTCTTGTGCTCTGTTCGGATCGAGGGGGAGAATTTATGGGTTCCACCTTCAAAGTGCTCCTTTCTTCGTGTGGAATTACCCATTATTTATCAATCGCTGACCAGCCACAGCAAAATGGTCGTGCTGAATGTTTTAATCAGACCATACAAGAAAAAGCAGGAACTATTCGACATCATACTTGTGTTCCAAAATGCTTCTGGAACTTTGCTTTCGACTGTGCACTTCACATGTACAATAGAACTCCTCTCAAAAGGATTCTTTTCAAAACTCCTGTCGAACTTTTCTTAGGAAAAATACCTGACATTTCCTATTTTCGCACCTTTGGCTGCAAAGCCTTTGTATGGGTTCCCAAAGAACAAAGAAAAGACAAATTGGAACCTCATGCAGTCAAAATGGTTTTCCTAGGCTACGAGCCTAACACAAAAGGATACTGATTTTTACATGGTCAAAAGATCATTCTTTCTCGCACTGCAAAATTTGTAGAAGACTCCTTTCCTTTCTGCTCTGATCATTCACAAAAATCCGAAACCTTTGACTCTGGTTCTGAAGACAACCAAGAATCATCATCTTCCAACTCTGAAAGCCTACATTCACTTCCGGATCCTGATCAGATCCAACTGGCACCTCATCACCACCAACCACCTCATCCGTTAACTCCTCCACAACAAAACCCACAGCAGAGAGCTGCGGACCAGCCTAGAGCTCCTCAACAACAAAGAAGAGCACCTGCTGCTGTACCACCAGTCGACCCTCATCATCTTAGGCATCCTTATCAACCTGAATTCATTCAAGGTGACTCACACAATGTTCGCAGAGCTCAACCTCCTGCCAATGACAGAGAACCTCATCCTAAACATCGATTCATACCTGTTTCTCATCCTGGAAATATCTATGGAGATAGACCTCCAGTCCAGATTGAACAAGATATTCAACAAAATCAGGATCAAGCACAACAGTGGATTCATAATGCTGAGCAACATGCTCACAATTCCAGAGAAGATATTCGGAGATATGCAAAAGAAAGAAGACCTCCTTCTCCGAGGCTACCTCCTGCACTTGTTCCTCCTGAAGTTCCTCATCATTTGACAGAACATCCTCAGGGAACTACACCTCCATCTCCTGGATCTCCACTTACTCCTATTCCAGATACTCCTGATTCTCCAAAAGGAATGCCTGGCCAAGAAGCTGAAATGCATCCTTTTGAGTTTGCACTTGCTGCTTGAATCAAGGAATCTCCGGAGCACTATAAAGATGTGCAAAAGTTATCTCCCAACTTACAAAAGAAATGGTTTGATGCCATGAAGGACGAATTAAAGTCTATCGAAGAAAGACAAGTATGGACCTTGGTGGATCCCCCAAGAGATCAGAAACCTGTTAAGTGTCGATGGGTTTTCACTATCAAAAGCGATGGTTGTTACAAAGCTCGTCTTGTGGCAAAAGGCTTCACACAAGAATTCGGCACCAACTTTGAAGATACCTTCTCTCCAGTGGCTCGATTCGAAACTGTATGAATCATACTTGCATTCGCTGCCCAAAGAAATTGGGACACAGAAGCCCTGAATGTCAAAACTGCCTTTTTATATGGCAACCTTGGTGAAGAAATCTATATGGAGCAACCAGAAGGTTTCAAAGTTACGGGTCAAGAACACAAGGTTTATCGGTTGCTTAGAGCCCTTTATGGCTTAAAGCAAGCTGCACTTGCATGGAATAAAGCCCTACATCAATCTCTACTTCAAATGGGCTACATACATTCAAAAGTGGATGCTGGGATTTATATCCATTCATCAAAGCTGGCATTGTCATTTTTCTCATCTATGTCGATGATGGACTCTTTCTAGGATTGGACAAACATCTTTTAAAAGCCAAGAAAGAACAATTCATGAAGAAATGGGAATCTCAAGACCTTGGTGAAGTCAAGGAATACCTTGGCATTCAAATTCACCAGGATAGATCCAAGAAGGAACTTTACCCTGATCAAATCCCCTATGTCAAAAAGGTCATTAAAAGGTTTAATATGGAGACTGCTCAAAATGTTCGCACTCCATTACCTTCAGGATATCAACTGGAAAAAGCACCATCAGACTATCAAGCTACATCCTCACTCCGAAGCCAGTACCAGTCTATAATAGGGTCTTTACTCTATTTGGCACTTGGCACAAGACCTGACATTGTGTTTTCTGTTATTCACATGTCACAATATATGGCAAATCCTACTGAGGATCATCACAACAAGGCCCTGCATATAGTTTGCTATATTGCATCTACTTCAAAAATGGCCTTATACTATTCTGGTCTTGAATCTTGGATCTTTGGCTTTGCTGATTCTGATTGGGCTTCAAATAAAGACACTCGTCATTCAACCACTGGTTACCTAATGTTTCTTGGAACATCTCCTATTTCTTTGTGCTCTCGCAAACAAAAGACAATTGCACTCTCCTCCACAGAAGCTGAATATATGGCACTCTGTGATGCTGCATGACAAATCAAATGGCTTCATATGCTATTTGATGAAATGAAATTGAAGACTGAGAAAACAGTTCTCTACTGCAATAATATGGGAGCTTGCTTCATAGCTGAGAATCCTTTATCGGATGGTCATTCCAAACATATTGACATCCAATGGCACTTCATTTGCAAATGTGTTCAAGAAGGTTTATTCAGTGTTGAATACGTTCAAACTGATAAACAAAAAGCAGATGGTCTTACAAAATCATTAACATGGCAAAAGTTCAAAACTAATCACTCGTCAATTGGTTTAGTCAACCTACCATTTTAGAGCAAGGGGGAGTATTGGAAATATCCTAATAGTTCTGACATCTAGAGTCATCTAGACTTACACATGTATCAACATGTTTCATATCACATGACCTGCCTTAGCAATCAGCTCCACAATGACATCATATTATATGTCATATTCCATAGCATTCTGCACTATTCCTTACTATACATAGTAGTAGTTTCCTTATACGCTACTGGTCCGTGTGTACCTACTCATGTATATAAACTCGGGGTTTTCTCCTAGAGTCCCCATCAGATTACACATCCAATCTACTGAGCCTCATCTAACAAGACTACTCATTGTTGCTAACTCTCAAATGCTACAACCATTCTCACAAGGCAAGTGTTCTTGTCTATATTGCTCTTCATTTCTCCTGTTCCTCTGTGCAATAGCAAGGGAAATGGGGAGGTCACTGGCAGCAAGGATGAGCAGAGTGTCAAGGGCACTGAGAGTGATGGCGAGAATGCGATATCGCTAAGATAACGCTGATTGGTGTTGCTTGGTCACTGACATACCTGTTTTGGTGATGGTTCAAGTGGTGTGGCATCCATGATAAGTCGTCAATTCTTGTCCAAGCTAATCACAAAAATACAGTATTCAAATTTTCGTTCATTTTCTTTATACTATATGCTCAAGTATATACCAAAGTCATCCTACCAGCTGATCTTAATAAAACATTGTTGCTGTGAATACAGAGGCGACCAAAAACTTGGTGGTTCAAGTGCCGGTAAATGACTGTAGAGAAGTGCGACAGCAGTGATGAGAGAAACCAAGTGGAATACATAGTGGTGGAGTACATGGGGAGGACAAGGAGGGGAGCGGATAACACATACGTGCCAGTGGGTACCTATAGAATATGCACATACGGTACCGATACGTGACCAAGAAATGACGCGCTATGTTTTGTGGGCGTCTGCGCAAAATTGATGAACCATGTTCATCTAACGCGGATAGTGTAAATGCGCCTCTCTGAGATGCCTAAGCATGTTTTTTCGTTTCACCTTCTTCTCTGCACCTAAAGCACACCAACGGCAAAGCACTTCGGTATCTGCCGCCATGTTCTTGATTTCATGGACGGCAGCAAAATGCTCTGCACAGTTATTGTACGTGACAGGTTCACCACACAGTCTGCCATCTTCGTTCTGCCAGCCACAGCACGTGCGTACGTTCCGATCGGAGAGCGGACGTACGGCGGACGGTCTCATCCTGCTCCGGGATTGGATTTTGGCAGAACGACCTGCTCGACGGGTGGAGATTGGCTCACTGGCACACGGACCTCTCTTCATTTTCGTCCGGCGGCGAGCTCTGATAGGACCGCGAGCCTGGTTTGCTTCAAACCCATCGATCATAATTCCATAAAGAAGATAGTCTACCATTGCCGGTCCTGCAGGTATTGGAAGGTTGCCGCTTCCAATGTCAGAGAGGCCGTCGTGCGTACAAAACTCGCTCGACGATGGCAGCGGCGAACTTTGGAAAGGTGGTATTGATGTTGATAGATGTGAGTTTGCAGCATGAGCACTCGAGTTGGACTGAGATGGGGTTGGAAGTATGTAAGGAGGGATGTGGGACACAATGGGCGTGGATGCGACCTAAGATCACGGAAGTGGGATGGTCGAACAGGGCATAAATGGCGAGTGACTCACTTCGATCTGTTGGTTTGGAGGTAGATAGGATTGCCATGTAAGCCAAGTTGGACTTGCCGCCCATTCCACAGGCGTTAGAATGTTCCCACCGTCTAGATGGTCCGAAGGATACGGACCCTGAAGTGGCGGCACGACGGAGTTTGAAGACGACGGCCATGATACGTTTGACAGGGGTGCAAAGAGAGCTGTGGAAGTTGGGCCCGTCGTAGGCTCGGTGGTGGCATGATGAGCGAGGGGTGGCTCGCCAGACTTGGAAACGTTCTCATTGTCCTGCGGGTATTCTAACGGGTGTCCCACCGCGCGGGGTAACACAATACTGATGTCTGGTGATGAAAGAGCAACGCTAGGGTTTATGGTATCGTCGGAGGCGCGACCCTGCGCACCCCCCTTGTAATGAGGCGTTACGGCATCAACAAGCGGTGCGTCACGGTGATAACTTTGGAAGGAAACCTGGGCTTGAGTAATTGGAACAGGGGCGGTATGATGGAGCAACTGAACGGGTTGATCCTTGACCTGTGTTACAGTAAGAGACTTGATAAATGTGGTTGTGCCGAAAATTTGGCTCACGATGGATAACCTCCCATCTTCGTCAGCGTAAGATGTTGAAACGGGGTAGTTCGTTTGCGCATGGGGGCTACCCCACGCCATATCTTGGTACCTCGGTATTGAAGTCGGAGCCTGATCGAGCGGTGGAGAGCCCTTGGTCTGAATGAGGACCCTCGGCTTACTTGACATCAGCGAAGCTTACAATAGATAATGCTCCGCTTTCAGCGACATTGTCCGAGGGCATTCCGGCACGTGCAGTCTACGGATGGACGAATTAGTGGACGACGAGATCAGCGGACGGCGGCTTACACACTGCAGATAGTCAACTGGGGAGACGGAGAAGTTATTGCTAAAGGTGAGAACGAAGGTGGGCAACCAGAGCTGGACGGCAGTGGGATGACATTTACGCTGATGATGAACCGATGCATTCCGCCGCTTGAGGTTGTTGGACGGCATAGCCATGAGCGGACGTTGCACCATAACGTGTGTGGTTGAGGTGACAATTCTGTTGGCAACGCAGGATCTGAGGAACACGTATTGTCGACCCGCTCGACATTGCAAGCGAGGGTGTTACCGACGAGGAAAGGAAGTAATGCATTGTATGTTCGAGGATAGATTGGATAGAACGAAACGTAGAAAGAGGGGAAGAGATACTATGGGGAGCAAGCGATCAGAATGGGTGTCTGTATTTCAGAGTGGCAACAACGATAAAAGTGCAGCCGTTGGAGGACGTCCCGATATGCCAAGCGGTAGCCGTGGGCTCCATGACACATAGGGAACATGCTTTACGGATCAACTGAACGTTCTCGGGGATAGAGATTGAGACCTCCCAGATAGCAATCTGTGAATCGGAACGCCGTCTGGTGGGCAACACGAGGTCAAAAGAATAGCAAAGAGAGGAAGCATGTGTTGCGCAGTTTAGTTGGGAAAATCCGAGCATGGCATAAATGAAGGTGGGAAGGAGGGCGGAGTTTCTGATGGTCACCGAGACGTCAAGTCGCAGTGAACAGGAACAAGGCTATTGATGAGCATGAGGTCAAGTAAATGGGGAAAACACGTTGTGGGCGTTTAACAGCTTGATGGCCGCCCAATGCCTTTTGCGGTTGTGGTTCGGAAAGAGCAGGTTTTGATATCGTCGGCGTTGAGAACTAAAGGTGAATGTCGATGTTTGCAGTAAGTGGCTTTGCCCCCGCTATTCCAATCTAGATAAAACCTCTCAGTTTGATAAGTGTGGGATCAACAGGTCGTCGTGCTGCACGTCGAAGTGAGGCAATGAAGCAAACTCGCGTGCCTTAGCGCATCTGGCACTCAGACATGACTATGAACCCCCGGACGATAGAAACCGTGGAACAGTGGGAGACAGCCTCTCGAGCGATGAGCTGGGATCGAGGCAAGCGGTCAGCCCTCCGTATGACTAAGCAATGTGGCTGTGCTCGAGCCTCCTTTCTCCGATTGGCAATTCCCGAGTGGCTTGCTACCTGCCTACAGCCGCGGTGTACCGCATCAGCTGCACCATTGTACGTGGTGTACCCAGGAAAATGGCTCGTCTAGCTCCTGGGCCTCCCCGGACACGGTGATTTAGGGCGAGATTTGGAGTTCCGTGGGACTTCCTTCCGGTGTATTTGGCAATGGAGGGGGCGTGGGCGAATTGACAACACGAGGCCTAAGGGATTTCTTCCGTCAGCCTGCCAATCTGTCCAACGGAACTCATTACAAATGGGCTCACTTCCTCCCAATACATACATTGGCCATTGCACCGGTGGCAGGTCTCCCTGCATAAAACGAACCAAATAAAATTCAATTTACTGACTGTCGTGACCCGTTGGGGAAAAGTCAGTATGGCCCCATGTCATGGTGTACGTTTGTACGTGCGCTGCAGGAGCAGAGATTAAGTCGTTAATGCAAATGAACACAATACAAAATAAGTATAAGCCTTGTGATATGACAGTCATATAATCCAGGGTGTTGGTTCCTGTTCTCCCAAACGCGTTAGTAATTACTCCCTGTTTTCCAAAAGCATAAAATACACAAAGGATATGAGTGTACTATGACAGCCATATCAGCTGGAGTGCTGGCTTCTTATGCTCACGTGTAATTATGTCCAGTTTTCATAAAAGCACAGAGACTATAAGTGTAATATAACGGACATATACATAAGCCAGAGTGTTGGCTCCTATTCTCCCAAACATGTTATGCCCTGTCATCCGAAGCGTGCCATCCACGTTCCGCTTGCAAGCCCCGACTAACAACGGGGTGTTCAGGGGCCTGATTCCCCTCCCAGTTGGACAAGGCATGATTACGCCACTAAGAGACGGGCGCATTAATGCCGGTCAGCAATACAGGGCAGAGCCAAGAAAAATAATAATAATAATAATAATAATCTTGTTTACAAGGTCACTGCACCCCGAAAATTGAGACGCTTTTTTCGACATCCGCGCATATGCCTCAATAACAAGTCGGCGCGGCAAATCCCACCAGCCACCTCACAACTGTAGCATGCTCGGGCATGGTAAATAATAAAGTTAAACCTAATTAAAAAATCTAATGAATTCACATGTATGCTGGGAGCTTCTACAACAAGGCAACGAACCATTTCCCTCATATCTAGAGTCCTAGTCGGAGAAGGAAAGCGGTGATCGGAGCCCCTGCCAGCGGTGCCGAGGCACCCTTCGACTCTCGAACCGCCCGTGCTAACAAGTATCTAGCTCAGCACGATTGTCTGAATGATTCCAACAAGGCCGAGTACGGTGAGGGCGGAATGGTAAGGGTTGCATAAGAAGACAGGTGAGACGGAGCTTACGCGGCAACGAAGGTCGATTCTTGAATACCGGCAAATGACATCGCAGTGCTAAGGGGAGCCAGCTACAGAAACTAAGCACAGCTACAGTCAAGACAGCCTACCGATTCATAAGCTCGGCCGATAGTCCAATCAAGAAGATAGTCTGCAGCGTCAGAGCACTCCACGACGGGAATATTGCCTTATAAAGTGTCTAAATGGTTCACTAAGAAGCTCACAGCCCCACGCTACCAAAAAGCTTCTTCCAAATCACTAATGCAGCTTCTTTCCTTTCACGCGTAGCTCCACCATTTCCCAGAACAGACTTATTCTCAGTTGCGCGCCGGGAGAGGTAAGGCATGACCTTTTAATGATGGGGATGCATCAGAACTCGTGTAAGACTTCTAGGCGCTCAGTCGGCTTACCTCGCCGAGCGCCCCGTATGGCGTGTACTTCAATACGAAGGGTATAGGGCTCCTGGTACGTGCAACGATATGATTGGTCAACGAATTTGCCATACCTGTCCGCAATGATCAATGACCGAATGGAGGGCTTTAGAAATAGTCCGTCCTTACCGTAAAGCTGAGCAAACGTGCATCTTTCCGCAACTTCTCGAGGGATAACAACCGACCGCGGCTCATTCACCCCGCCTTCTTCACGTGCCAATCCGTTCTTGACTAATTCATGAAGAACCAACTCTGAAGATCCCCAATTGTGTGTCCCAAATACAACACCGAGACGGGGCAGCTGCGCGGGTGAAGACCCGATGTCATCGGCGATCGCACGCACGATTACCGAAACACAAGTGTTGTAGCATGCATCCGTCTCTACCTTAGAAGAGTATACAGGGGGATCTAGGTCAGTCGATATGGACATCGTGTGTAACGAGCGGATATGTGACGCTATTTCGTGTGGGTGGTATGCACCACGGACAAGCTTGACTCCTAAAGCGTATCCCCTCTTACGTGAGAGTGCAATCGAATGAGCAAGATGAGCTGGCGTCCTGTCGATGGTAAAGTATTCAGTCCATTGCTAGTTGTCAAGTTCCGTGACTCACCTCCGAAGATAGGCTTGATACGTCATATAAACTAAGGGCTGTGGTCCTCTTTGAGAACTAGAGCCAGAGAACAACCACTTCGTCCAGAAATTCTCAGGAAGTTTGTTGAACTGTTCCATCAGTGCGTGACCAAAGGCATCTATCGCCGGTTGATACCAGCTACGAACGCACATATTAGTTCCGTTGTTCAGGCTGTTGAGAAGCAGACTAACGTATACTCGGCATCAATCACAATCTTAATTCTTCGTTCCTTCGCACGCAAACAGATTCTTCTCAGATTGGCGTACAGTTCTTGTAGATCTCTAACGTCTTCCTCCCTCAAGGGAGACTTCGGGTGGCTACGTGATTGCCTATCTAAGATAGCAAGATCTGATGAGCTTGGAGTTCCGGGGAACGGCACGGAGTCTGGTGGTTCTGGTCGCGTGTTAACGAGGTGCAAGGAGAAGTTGCGAAGCGACTCTGCACGAGGCAGAAGAGCGGTCTATGATGTCCAAAAACAGTGCGTCAGTTACATCCATGTTTCCCTGTCCCAGAAGACTACCTACGAGTTTCACGGCAATCCATGTTCCACGCCCCTCAATCCCTGACTCGTAGGCAAGACGATCTTCAAATTCGCCCACCGTATCGATGCTATGGATAATCTCTTCCACGATACGTTTGTGAACGGGTTGTTCTGAACTAGAGGCATCTTTGTGTGACCGCTGGCTCTTGGGGGTACCGTGACCGGTGCTTCCCGTTGCTACATTCTCGTCGACCTCTACGCTGTACCCCAACAGCATACCCTTGTTTTCGTACCGTAAACCTCGAATGAGTGGCAAGATATCCTGTACTGTCTCTCCGCCCACGTACTATCAAACCGGACACACAAAGATGGAATCGTGGATAAACACACTATCAAAGCATCGAGCGCGGTATATGCACGACGTACCTGAGCGAAGAAAGTCCCGCGCACGATTGTTTCTACGACACGTCCTACCAAAGGAACCCGAAGCAGATGGTCAAGAATCTGTGAGGTATGGTCCACAAGGAAGGGTATCGAAATGAGACTGTATACGACGTATGTGCGTAGCAAGGGAATTAGGTCCGTGGACTGGGCCTGGGCTATGGAGATCGACGTTTCTGGTGATGAGGCAGGGCGAAAGGAAAGTTCGAATGACGGGTCAGGGCACGACTTCGCGTCTGCCCACACACCGATTACAGCTGAGCCGGATATGACACCAGTCAAGAGCAGCGCCCGGCGTTTGCAGATATATTCCCACCGCGATGTCGGCGGTGCGGGTGAGGTCGACAGGAGCCTCCGACTGGTCGATGAGAAATGTTGTCGTAGAACACCAATCCTACGTAGAGAGATAAGCACGCCACATCGTAAAGCATACACCATGAGAGTCTTGAAGAGTATCGGTAAAAACGAGGCAAGCCTGTAAGTAGCGGGGACGAAGGATAAGATCGATAAGAGAAAGATGGCACACGGGCGCACCTTCAAGCTTCAAATATGCCTAACGCAAGTTCCTTCCGACTGTAAGTGGGACCCGAACTTCCGGGAACGAGGCTCGGCAGTGGTGCGTGCATTGCAATTCCGAACCACTGGATGCTTCACGATACGCAAGCAACCCCCACAGTCTCTGACTCGACCCGCCATAGAAATATGACCGGTTCTATCAGGAAGTGTTTTTTTTCTGCAACGCCGTTCACCAACACTCGGGCCATTCATTATGTAATCCGCAGTTTTCCGATTGGTCACTGCCTCAAGGCCTCAAGCACTAAGCAGCGTTGCAGGAGAGTGAGGAGCTTCGAAAGCTAGGTAAGTATCCCCGAGACTCCAACACCGCATTAAGTTCTTCCTGGAGCACTTGAGGCTTGGCTTGACGGTACGTGTCAATTTCTCTGCTCCCACGACGGCCTGTTTTTTTGTCACAACGCTACACACGTCTGTCCAGCTGTGGATTGCTTGGCCTGTTTCGAGTGACCTCGACGAGTTAAGCCTCTGGCGCAATATCTCCCTTCGTTGTAATTCATCGATTGGTTATTCCTGGGACTTCGACAATGACCGTCACCTCTGTAACGCTACATAGCGGAGGTAAGTCGGAGGTGTGCCTCCGACAAGGTCCCGAATCCAGATCTCTCTCGAACCATCGCATCCTCCAGCTTATGGATATCCTTTGGCAGATTGGGATGTGCTGCATCGTTGTCACGGGCTGAAGCCTCTCCTTCAACTTCGGAATATACTCTCCATCTAGGCCGCTGAATTTTGTGTTGGTTTAATGCTTAGCATCAGCTTGGCCTTAAGGTGGTTGACCTCGCTCAGGTATCTCTTTCATCTCCTTCGGATGTGGACTCCCCGGTTCGTTTGTACATGGCATGATTCCTTCAGATGCAACAATCGCGTCCAGTTCTGGCTCTTTTATTAGGCATTGAGAAACACAGATAAGACCTGCACTTCGTGAGTGATTAAGTTTCGTCGTTGGCAGTGTTTCGAATACCAGTTCTGATCGAGCAAGTCACTTTTTCCAACTTTTTCCACGTTCCCGCACGCCGAACTACGTTTATCGATGCCGATGGCCAGGCAAGCACATGCCGATCCATTCGTTTTGATCACGATGTGGAAGTTTGATCAATGCTGTCGGAGGACAGTACTGTGCATGAAAAGTCTGCTGGGATCAAACGCCAAATCAATTGGTACAAGATAAGAACATCAGCCCCTATCCCACTGAGGGAGGTTGATCCAATATAATTACTGGTACCTTCTTCGTCTTCTTCGTCTCCAAGGTACTCGAGCCCCTCTTTTCCGTCGGCGCTGGCACTTCATACGTGCCTCCCTTATACATACGCCGGATAAAACCCTATCATGTCCTCTCTTGTCGCGCACTTACAGGCACCCGGCTTTGACAACCGATGGCAAATCAGTGATGCAACGTGCAGAGACGAAATGACCTTCGCTATGGTAACCAAATGGCTGATTGCAAACCGTTACGTCGGGATTGATCTAACCACAGGTAATGGTGCGATCGCGAAGTTGGTGTGCAGCGGTCGTCTTCTCATAGGGATGGTTTGCCACTAGCGGCCCCGGAGGCATTTTAACGCTCCCACTGCCAGTATGGGATGAACGTTTGAACATATGCGACCAGTAGGGCGATGGTGTTTAATTTGGGATTCCGGCCGGCGGTAAGTTCCAGTCGATGCTTGGGTCAGAAAATGGCTCCATCATTCAATCATGCCTGTGGACGTCTGCACGATCGCTCCAAACGGTTCCTTCGAGATCCACTTCTCTTAAGCGCCTCGACATATTTTTTTGTATGACATTTTTCGTTCCTTTTGTAAGACAGCAACGACAGATGATTTCGATATCGCGTCTTATGCTCTCGAGGCCATAGACAGCAGCGGAACGGTTTGTGCAACCGTACGTAACAGGTGCATCGCATTTTCTGCCATTGTCATCCCGCCAGCCACAAAGTTTGCTCGCAAACAACGTGTGCGTTGGGCAGCCTCCTCGGGGTTCGTGGCCAGGTGGCAGCAAAACGACGTGCATGAGGAAGTCGCCTGAAAAGGTTCTTAGCCCCAATTCCGGAGAGGGGGTCATGGGAATGAAGCTCGCGGGGTAGCAGCGGGAGTTGTTTGGGAGGCAGCGACGGCTTCCATCAATCTTTCCACAGTTGCCTACCCCATCTGAGATTGCCAAAGATGCATGTACTGCGATCAGAGTGGGTAACGAGTGATCATCGAGAATGTGCGGTGTGTGATTTTTTTGGGCGCTCGTTGCGTATAGTTTCATGTTAGCCCCAGCAAGGAATCCATGAAAACATGACAGACCTGCGGTATCGTGTAGTGAGGGTGAACAGTGAAGGGGTATTCGAAATGCCCTTGCTGGGACTCACAGGATGAGATCTGGCTGGGCGGAAGAAGAAGGGAGTGGGACGGGATGTCGTTGTCGATGGTGGAGTAAGTGGTCGGGCTGGACCGGAATGCGGTTGGACACGTGTAAGGAAAGGGTGCCGGCCGTGATAATGACAGGTGTATTCTAAAGCATGGGGTGAGTTGGTTAGACAAGACATTGAAGAAGTGACCCACTGTTTTATAAGCCGCTTCGTAAAACTGGAAAGGAACCGAGCTGGTGCCGCAGTCTCTGTTCGGATCTGTACTAGAGGAAGCGGAACGTCGTCGTTGGTGAAGTCATCCGATAGATGCCGTTCCTGAAGTGAGGGCGATAGGCCGCTTGGAGGCCCCGACCGTGGTGCATTTGAGTCGAACACAAGGCCTGCGGTGTGATCATGCAAGGAGGGGTTACAGAGCTCAGTTCCATCATCGGTCCGACGGAGACACGGCCCGGATCCCCGAACATTGAATTGTTTACGATTTCCCGTGGGTATCTTGACGATTGCCCTATAACATAGGGTGGTAGAATACTTGTGTGCGGGAAGGAAAGTGTGGCGATGTGGTTCGTGATGGCCGGAGGTGCGGTCCTGTATGTCCGAGCACTGATTGGCTACAGGAGGAGCCTCAGTCTGGATGAAGATATTAAGGGAGCTTGTCATGTATGAGACTTACGATAGATGGTGATCCATTTTCGCCGGCAATATACTCCAACGGTAATGCGACCCGCGCACTCTGGTAATGTGGTGAGAGGATGGCAAGATCGATGGGAGGTGGCTGACATCTTGTTCTTCGTCCGAATGGCCAACTGGACTGAAATTGGGTACTGGAAGCAGGGCGAGTGTAGTCGAACGGCTTGGTGACTGCAGTGCCTGCGAGTAATGTGTTAGGGCGCCTGCGGTGGAAGGGGGACAGTTTTCAGACACTGGAAGTGGAAACAGTGCAATAATCGCTAGGACGAACAGTGAGTCAGGAGAATTTGATGGAAGAACGTAATTACATACCCTGTCGGTAATGCGAGACATTGCATTTCCCGCAGATCGATGGTGGAAAGGCCATAGCCAGGTGCCGCAGTAGAAAACCTGTGGCCTTGGACTCTGAGAGTGTTGCGCTATTGATGTGCTCAGCGGTGCCTGATCCGGCAAAGACGGGGTAGGCGTTTTGCTGGGACAGGACGAAAGGAATGGGAGGGAAATATTGGTATGCAGAACAGATGACCAGGACTGATCAATATTTAGGAATGGTGGAAATCGAAGCATGTCTTTGACGGACGATGAGAGTGTTGAGATGGCGACCGGGCAACCGCCCTCTATGGCGAGTCAGGAAATAACAAGACGAATCAACAAAAATTGGCAGGAGTCGGAATGGCCCGTAGCTTCCGACTGCACAGAGGGGATGAAAGCCAGAATTTGAGGGTGCTAACATGAGTAAACTATCTCATGTTAGGAAGAAACTGGTCGTGAATCGAGGGCGGCAGATGGCACGGACCCAGACACAAAGTAGGGAGGGCTTGACATGTGTTTTGGAAGTTTTGGAATAGAGGGCTTGTGAAGTGGACGTAAGGGCCATCTCCCTTGCACCTATGGCAGATATGATACAACTTCAACTGAGATCGACAAATGGGGAGTTGGGATGAGTGGGTTACGTCAATGCACAGGTCAGCGTCAGTTACGGAAAGAAATAAAAGAAAAGAAGAATTTCAAGGGGACCTTCTGCCGTCAGAACGTTACTTATAGTTAGTACTCCGGTGACATCGTACCAAGTACAATAAGGGTTTTTTGGGACGAACAGCAATATTCTTCCAAGCTGCAGGCAGCAACGAAAATCGGTTGACCATCCAGTCTGGTCACCATTAGGGTAAACGTAAGGAATCCAAGCGCTTCGCTCTGCCCTCGGCTGCCGAACCCGCATAGTAAGTATTAGCTTGATTGAATTTTGCATCACGTAATCCGAATCATTTCCGAACATTGAATATGTACGTACATACATATCTATGCATGTTATGACCTCTGTCTGTCCGGATTTGAGGCGCCGTGCTAGGCATATTCCCGCCCCCTCGAGTTGAAGGGTGGCATACTGTGGGTGGATCATGAAGTGATTGGCTTCGTCAGGCGGTGTGAGGATGTCAGCAAAGTATGCCTATGCAGAATCTGGAAGAACCAGTGCACCAGCGTTATGGGGGACAATTCTGTCAGACGTTTTTTCTATGATAATAACACGTTGTGGGGTCTCAAGGTCTCAGGGACGCGGGAAATTCCGTGTGGCTGTTTGAAGGAACGTCTCACGAAATCGGTCCTGAACAAGTAAAATTAAAGGCCGCACTTCTAACCGTCGCAGATGAGGACCCCCTGCTGACCGCAACGTGCCACATGTTTTGCCGCTTTGTAGGTGGCGAATATGGCAAACAAACCACCTGATTTGATGGTTCTAGCCTTGTAGATATGATGCTGACGTGGACATGTGTACTTCCGGAAAGTGTGCCCGCCTGCCACCATTGCGGAACTCTCCGACGTTATTCGTTACATACGTGATCGGTCGCGATCAGCCTCCGCGGAGAGATGCCGCGGTGGCAGTTTCGACACATTCGAGCTGCGGAGTTAATTCCGACTTACTACGTAGTATGTCGTGTTGAGTTAGGTTTTGAAACTCCAGTTATGTATGGAGGACCTAATTAGCTTCACCCATAGACCAATTGACCGAGCGCCGAGGAGAGGGAACCCTGCTTGATAACATTACTCAGTTCCTACTCCCTGAATTCAGGTGAGTAACCTCAATCCTTGGATACATCGGCTACTGGGGGAGAATAGGCGCCACGGTAGCGGGTGGCGTGTCACTGCCCTGCACGCCCTCCCTATTACATCGGATCATTCAAGTAAGGATTTGGGTAGGTGGGAAATACAAGTTGATGAATGATATTACAACGCACAAGATTTACACTGGACATATACTGTAACAATGATGACGCGGGAATCCGGGTGCGTGCGGGAATGGCGACAATGGTACATATGGAAGAAGGGGAATGAATAACATCTGGATGCTAGTAGACGAGTTTTACCAATGGAATGCGCGCGCGAAAAACCAGTGCAATGACGATGTGGGGTGCTTTTTGCGGCCTCGTTTGTTACCTAAGTCGGCAGTACAACCACGAATCGGAAAATTGCTACAACAGTGCACGTGACCAAGAGATGGGCCCTACGTATATTCAAGGAGGGGTGTTATCAACGTCGGTACAATATTCATGAATCGTGCTGTTTCGGACGAGGACAGTGCAGATGCTTTTCCCTGAAATGCCTGAGTATATTTTTTCGTTTGATCTTCTTTCCTACACTTGAAGGACACCAACGGCAGAGCACTTTGATATCTGCTGCCATGCCTATGATGCCGTGGACGGCAGAAAAATGGTCCGCACAGTCATTGTACGTGACAGGCGTACCACACTGTCTTCCATCTTCATTCTGCCAGCCACAGCACACCTGTACGTTCTGATATCGAAGTGGGCGTGCCACGGACCGTCTCACCAGGGTCCGTGATTGGGTCTTGGAAAGGCCTGCACGACGGATGGAGATCGACTTACAAGCACGCGGACTTCCCTCCATTTTCGTCCGGTGGTGAGCTCTAATCCGACCACAAGCCTGGCTTTCATTAAGCTGGTTGAGATTGCGCATATAAATCTCGCCCGACGACGGCAATGGTGGGATTGGAGACGGCGGTACTGATGGTGATGCGTGCAAGTCTACCATCTGGGCGTTCGAGTTGGTTGGCAGCGTGTAAGGAAGAATGTGGGGTAAATGGGTGCACGTGCGATCGAAGGTCACGGAATGGGTTGGTTGGACAACCGGCGAGCGACTCAGTTCGGCTGGTTCGTTAGGACGCAGATAGGGTTGGCTTGTAGACCAAGCTGGGCTTGTCGTCCATTCTAAAGATGTAGGGAAGTTCCCTCTGTCCAGATGATCCGAAAGGTGCCGCCCCTGAAGTGGGAACACGACGGGGTTTGGAGGGGCCGACCATAATGAGACATTTGAACTAGGACTCAAGGTACTATGGTGTCTGCTCCCATAACGGTCAGCCCAACCACAGCGGGGCAGAGAATACCCATGAGCTGGGGAGGCAGAGCCTACCGTAGGTCGAGTGGTGGTATGATGAACGAATGATGGCTCGCCAAATGTTGAAACGTTCCTGTTGTCCTGCGGGTACCCTAATGGGTATTGGTTTCCCACCGTATGAGGCAACATAGTACCGGTGTTCGGTGATGAAAGTGCAATACATGGGTACGTGATGTGATCAGAAGCGCGACCCTGCGCGACCCCGTTGTAGTGAGGTGTTAAAGTGTTTAGGGGTGGATCAGGGTAGTAACTCCGGAAAGGAAGGCTGGCTTGGGTAATCGGAACAGGGACGCCATGGAGTAGCTGAACTCGTTGACCGTTGATCTGCGTTATAGCATGAGCCTCGCTATAGCGGTACCGAGGTTGGCTTACGATGGAAGGCCTCCTATCGTCCTCAGGGTGGACTGTCAAGGATGTTGAAACGGGGTAGCTCGCATGCGTAAATCGACTACTCTGGGCCCCAGGATCCTGTGGTACTGGAATTGGGACCTGATCGAGCGACGTGAAACCTTCAATGAAGACCCTTACACAACTTGACATAGATGAAGCTTACGATGGATAATGCTCCGCTTTCAGCGACATTGCTCGAGGGTAATTCGACTGGCGTAGTCTGGGGGAAGGAGGATGAGAAGATGACCAAATCGACAGAAAACGGCTCACACCCAGCAGATAGCCGCCCGCGGGGGCTGAGAAGTCGTTCCTAGAGATGTCAATGAAGATGAGCCATCAGAACTCGTCGGCGGTGGGATGACGCTTACGCTGATGATGGTTCGATGCATTCCGGCACATGATCGAGGTGACAATCCTGTTGGAGACGTAGGTACTGAGGGACTCGTGATGTCGAGCCGTTCGACGTTACGTGCGAGGGGGTTGACAACGAGGAAGAGGAAATAATGTAGTGCATGATCGTTCGCACACACAAAGAACGATAGATTGGGCACAACGAAACGTAGGAAGGGGGAAAGTAACAATGGCGAAACAGCAATCGTTAGCCGAAGTTCTGAGATGATCAAGTTGCAGACTGCATGGGTTAAATATGACCCGCGATGCGACGGTCGATCAGGTAAACATTGTCGGAAGCCAAGATTGGCAAGTTAACCCGGGAAACGATCCGTGTTGCCTTGCGGACGACACGAGGTCAGAAAAGGCAGAGCTAGCATACAGGTTTACCCGGAAATGGATTCGAGCAGGGCGTAAATGAAGGTGGGAAGGGAGGGAGAAGGATGTATATCTGACATGTTTTCGAACATTCCATAGCATTGGTGTAGAGCGAGGGAATCGCCCAATGCCTTTTGTCCACAGGTTGTGCTTGGGAAAGTAATGATGATGGTTGGGCGCTGAGAAGTCAAGGTCACCGACACCTTTTGCAACAAGTTCCTAGCCGTGCCTCCGCTATCTCAATCCTGAGAAAGCGGTGTCTTCGAGGTAGGCATTACAGGTTTGACATGGGGAGAATAGTACTAAAATGACAGCGGTCGACATGCCGTCGTGTCGTACTTTGGAGTGAGGCAGCGAAGGAAATTCACTTACATATCTTAGGTTCTAAGCGCATCCACCCAGAAACGACGATGCGTACCGGTCGATAAAAACAGCACGCAGAGTGAAATTCATCACCTTAGAGGTCCTTGAACGGGCCTGAGACTCTTCACTGACTTGCAGGGAGTGACGTCCACAGTGGCCCACCACCAGCCCGCAGCCATGCTACACTGCATCCGCTGTGCGACGCTCAGATCGACACCTTAAAGATCAGATGGGGGACAAACGCACCAGGAAAATGGCTCGTCTTCATCTCGATCGCGTACATCCGAATTCGGAGTTTAAATGTTTCAACCCAGTGGTGTGGAACAAGCTTATCGGAGATGTAACGTACTGTTGGTTGGCAACGAGAGTAAGTGATCAAGACGCTTCAAGCGGGCTCACGGCCCCGAAATTCCGAGCCGGCGCCGACCGCATGCGCAGTGCCGGACGTCGGTGCTCAGGCTCAGTCAGTCACACCTTGTCACATTCTAGCCGCCACCTACATTACCATCATATCAGACGATGAAATGAGCATAATGAGTTGACAACAACACGAGGTGAAGGAGCTCAGCAACTGCTTCGCGCCAGGGGCCTTCTGGCCCCACAACGCATGCTCTTTCGACGACTAGGCAGTTTTTGAAAAAAAATCTTTGTTGACTATAGCGGATCGCTTCCGGCACCGTAGCATCAAACAAACTGAATAATATTCTACTCGGGGGCTGTCGCGGGCGATGAAAGAGTTGAATGTGTTCCCATAGAAACCCAAACAAAACTACGGTGCCAACGGGAAGTAGTGTTTGGATGCCAGAAGGACCAAGTGTAGGTGCAGACTGGGGCGGAGGACTAATCATGCTCGAGATTCACATTGTCGTTTAATCGACGAGGAATCCCACAGCATCACAGTACTCGACAACAGGAATGTTGCTAGCTCGTCGTATGGCGTGTGCTTCATTGCAAACGTATAGCGCTTGTGGCACGGACCATAAGATGACTTGTCAACGAAACTTGTATACCTGTAGGCAGTGATCAATAGGCGCGTAGAACGCTTCAGCAGGTGTTTGCCATAAAGCTGGGCAAGTGTGCATCTTTCCGCAACTTCTTGCGGAACAACGACCGTCTGCGGCTCACTTACCCCACCTTCTTCATGCGCCAATCTGTTCTTGGCTAGTTCCTGAAGAACAGACTCTGAAGATCCCCAACCATGTCCCAAACAAAACACCAACACGAGGCAGCTGTGCCGGGGATGGCCCGATGTTATCAGCGATGACCCACGCGATAGCCGGAGCACGCATGTTGTAGCATGTACCCGTCTCCACCTTAGAAGAGCGTGCAGGGGAGTCTGGGTCAGTTGATGTGGACATCGTGTGTAACGAGCCATTGTGTGACGATATCTCGTGTGGATGATATGCACCGTGGACAAATCTGACACCTAGAGCGCATCCCTTCTTATGTGAGAGTGCAATCGGATGGGAAAGGAGGGTTGTGGTTCTGTCGATGGTAAGGTATCCAGTCCATTGCTAGTCATCTAGTTCGGTGACTCACCTCCGGAGATAGGCTTGATGCGTCACATAAACCAAGGCATATGGTTCTCTTTTAGACCCGCGGGAACTAGAGCCAGAGAACAACCACTTCGTCCAGACATTCTCAGAAAGTTTGTTGAACTGTTTCATCAGTGCGTGACCAAAGGCATCTATCGCCGGCTGATACCAGCTGAACTAGATATGATACCAGTCACAAGCAGCGTTCATCGATTGTGTACGTATTCCTATCGTGATGTCGGTGGTGCAGGTGAGGTAGACAAGAGCCTACAGCCAGTCGATGACAAGTGTTGTCGTTGAATGCCAACCCCACATAGAGGGAGACACGCGCAACGTTGTAAACGCACAGCATGAAAATCCTGAAAGTATCGGTATAAGCGAGGCAAGCAAGTTCATCTGTTAGTGGTGGGTATGGGGGAATGACTCAGACATGCGAGCGTACCTTCAAAGATGTTGGGATTCGACCTTCCGGAAACAAGGCTCAGCTTAGCAGTGGCGCGTGCATAGCAGTCCAAAGCGCTGCGTACTTCACTGGATACGCAAGCAATTTTCACGGTCTCTAACTCGACCCACTATAAAAATGACTCTCAGGAAGTCTTTCACATAACGATACATGTGTACGTAGGCTGCTTTCAAAGGTTTCACCCAGGTACTCACTTTCCACTGCCCACTATACACATGTCCATTCAGTTGTGGATCGCATGTTCTGTCTCACGTGAATTCGACTAATCAAGAACGTGTCCCGTTCGTTTTATCTCATTTACCAGTTATTCTCGGGATTTGGAAAGTGACCGTCGCCGCGGTGCAGCACACGCAAATCTGAGATGTGCCTTTGGACGAGGTCTCGATTCTCGGATCATTGAATCTTTCAGCTTGTGTATATCCCCCAATAAGCTGGGATGAGTTATATCGTGGGTCATATGCTGATCCGTATCTTCATCCTCTTTTCGGTCGGCAGCCAACGATGATGGTGGCCACCGGCGGAAGCCTCTTCTTCAAATTTGAAGTACACTCTCTATACAAGTCGCTGAATTTCGCGTTGGTTCGATGCTTAGCGCCCACTCGACCTTGCTCAGGTATCTCCTTTTATCTCTTTCGGACACAGGTGGTTGACCCTCCTCTGATCGTTTGTGCATGGCATGATCCCCTCGGATGTAACGTTCCGGATCTTCTGTTGTGCACCGAGAAGCTCGGATAAGACCTGGGCTTTGTGTGATTAAATCCCGTCTCCTGATTTCTGCGTCATTAGCAGCGTCACGAACACCAGTTCCAATTCAGTATGTCACTTTTCTCAACTTCACCTTCCCGCCCGACCTACTAAGCTGGGAATGTTATCGCTTGTTAACGCCGATGGCCAAGCACGTATCGATCTGTTCGATTCATCATGATGTAGAAGTTTGATCAATGTTGTCGGATGATACTCTCCATTCTCTACTAATACTACACAATACTCCATATGACAAGTCCGTTGGGATCAAACGCCAAATCAATTGGTACAAGATACAAAACATCAACTGATATATGACGTCCATGTGAGACTTTACTACCCCTATCTAACTGAGGGAAATTCACCGAATATGATCACTGGCAGGTTCTCCTTCGTCTTCTTCCTTTCCAAGGTGCGGGAGCCTTTCTTTTCTCTGGGCGCTGGTACTTCATATGGGCTTCCCTTACATGTCGGATGAAACCTTTTCGTTTCACCTCTTTCCGCGCACTTGCAGGACACCAACGGCACCCGACTTTGACAACCGATGGCAATTTCGTGATACCGTGTGCAGTGGCAAAATGGCCTTCGCAATGGTAATCAATTGGTTTATTGCAAACCATTCCATCGGGATTAATCCAACCGCAGGCAGTGGTATGATCACGAAGTTGATGCACATTGGTCATCTTCTCCGTCGCTAGAGCTGGAACCGGAGGTTTCGCAGAGCTCTCGCCGCAAGCGTCGTATAAGCCTTCGAACTTATGCGGCTCGGAGGGCGGTAGAGTTACACCTGAGATTGAGGGCGGCGGTAAGTTCGAGTCAATGCTTGGGTCAAAAACTGGATCCATTCCTCGACAGTCATCTATGCCGCCGGAGGTCATGCCTGTGACGGAATTGTAGAAGAAGTGTGCTGCCGTCGTATTCATGGTGGCCTCTGCACAGAAACTGCGAAGAATCGAAAGATCCTTGGATCGTTGGATATTCCCATTACCCGCAACCGGATTTGATGACGACGACCACGATAACTCTGAGTCAATCGTCTGTCCTGAGGCGCAATCGCTCCAGCTTGTTCCCTCGTGACTCTCCACCTGGCCATTAAATTGGAATAAAGCACGACCACGAAGGGGGAGAGTGGACAACAGACCAATCGCAGGTCCAGCAGAGGCATGGTGAACGAATGGCAGCTCGCCAAACGTTTGAACGCCTCGTGAGTATCCTAACGAGCGTCTCCTCGTATGGTGTGACGATAGACTAGTGACAGGAGGTGATGAAAACAAAATATTAGGGTATGCGACTTGATTAGGGGCACTGTAGCACGTGGCCCAGTAGTCATGAGGTGGTGTATGAATAAGAGGATGGCAGTTGCTCCTAGCAGGAACGTCGTCCGCCGTACCTGCCCAGGTGGTCATGGGCCGTTTGCGAGTGGACGCGGCAGAGGGGCAACTATTCCCACTCCTGAATTAGAGAATGGAGGTGAGTCACCAGCACTCGATATAGGAATGATACTGACATGGTCCATTCAGGTTTGTTGTCGTCGGGGGGGCCCAAACTGGGTGCCACACCATGCCCCGCATGCTCTGACTCGGCATCCTGTGATGAATCCACCTTCGGAGAGTGTAGCGGTGCCGACGTGCTCGACACTTGGAGTAAGTCTGGTACAAACGAGACCTTGGGTCGTTTATTTCGCGTAACTTTTTCGCTGCAGGAGACGGCGGCGGAAGATCGGAAATGGCTTACACTTGAAGGGGAGAACGAGCGACAGCACGAAGGATGGAGTCCACACTTTGAACCTTTTTAAGGCTGTGCGGGGGAAAGCAAGAAGGAAGACAGTGTGTCCACGTCTCATGAAGCCATGAATTGTCTGAGCTTCAGGGGAACAATTGGTATGCAAAGCATAGCTGAGGCATAGCTTTCGGAGCAGAAGGCCGGATCCAATGATTGGACGACATAATAGAATCCCGCATTAGGGCTAAAACAGCAATTGCGCTTTTGCTCTCCACAATCCTGTGGGCAGGGAATAGTCTACGTGGCTAAGGTTATTCCATTACTTACCTAGAGGGCCCAGCTGGTACCTCTTTAGGGGAACTGCTGATTACTCGGGAGACCCCGCGACCGTTGGATCGGGCCGGTTTACATGAATGCTTATCATTAATATTAATGCTGCTCGCCCTTTGCGGATAAATCGTGGTGAGTAAACGCTCCAGATCGCACGTCTCGCGTCGGCGGATTGGGAGGGCCCGTCCAGTTTATAGCAGGTGTCCAGTAATGAACTATCCGTTGAATGGCTCACGGACACACAAACGATCGCGCTGCGTTGTAGTAAATACAGGCTCACGGCAGTGACTTTTAACGGCGACCTTCGGAGCCGGGTGCAGAGTTTCCGAAGGCACAATGAGAACTTGTCTGCGATGAGGCATGGCTTGCGGTGCGAACAGCATGTTTTTTTTGCCTAGGAAATCTGACATGCTTCGGAGCCAATCGCATTACGTAGTGCGGACGACCCTTGAATTCACATGAGTACCCCTATCAGTGTTGTGAGTGCATCAATATAAATGATAGTAGGCAGGTCGCCTTGGCAGGCCCCGCAAAATTCGAGAAGATAGACATGGCGAAGCAGAGATTATTCGATTCTAAATTAAGTAAATGAAACCAAGCGGTGACGGGATACATTACCCATCTGGTCTCGGAGCATCCCGCTGTCACATAATCGAGGCCACGGGCGAAACTAGAGGGAGATTTGTGCACTACTCTGCCGCCACACAAGATCATCAAGAAGTCCAGCCACGCTGCGGGAGCATTTTAACCGACCAGCCCAGTTGGCGGCAATGCAAACCTTGCTTTCCTGTCGGGGGATGCGGCTCTCTGAGACACAGCAGCAGATGGAATTGACGATACGTGAAGTGTGCGTAATTCACAGCGACCTGTTTATCGATCCAATACCATGCAATGGTCCAACAGAAGATTAATGGCCAACCACCATTCACAAAACCATACCGTCCTGTAATAGAGTCTTAATGTTAGGTTTCACAGAAGGAGGTTTTAATGAGTCTGTACATACACACAGAGTTTTGACGAAAACCAGGATCCCAGATTGCAACAAATTTGAGAAATGTTTCTAGTAAAACTTCCCGGGATCTATTTGATGTAAAGCAGTGGTTTGTCAAGTAGACCATGATACGCAATTACTGCACTTGGCATCACCGGTCTAATCTGATTTAGGTATGGAAGTTGATGGTACAGCAACCCCATGCCGTATGGTGTCCTCACTGTCTTTCTCCCAGGGTTTGTATGGTCAGGCGTGAAAAAGGTCCGGAATTTATGAAGTTCGGTGAGTGATATAACCATATAATGGTGACCCAATGATATTATGTCTGCTGTGTAGTGTGCCAACGTACACAACACTTCAAAGATATTTGATCCGAATCTTTGCGGAGTAGGACCGCAGCAACTGGTCATGCAGCATTCAAAACTGAGAAAATAAATCTGTCAAACATTCGGTCCTAGCCGAGGAATAGGATAAGGATAGCGTGCACAGAAAGAGAAGATTCCGAGGGGAGACGTGAGGTGCCCGAAGTAGTCGCCATCGTTATGATGTGGAAAAACGGCGACACTTGTGCATTTTAGTATCCGGCCTCCTTGGAAACTTCTTTTGGAGGGTTGAGCTCACAAAGCAATTGTGAGGTGACGGTGTCAATTGCAATCCCATAACCCTCAGCTGTCCAGCTCATTGGGGCCACTGTGCTGTAAGCATATGCTTACCTTACCACTTACCACTTGCCACTCATGCACCATTCATGCTATTGCTTCACATCGTCACATCTCCTATTCCCTTGATTGCACCCTTGTCTGGGCATGTGGATCCCTCCTGCTGTGTTGTGCTGTTTGGACCCTGGGGGTATATATACTGGTGCTGCATGTATGTGCAGGTCATCTCTTCTTTTTCCCTCTTTCCTCTCACTTGCTCTGTTGAGCATCTTGTATTAGGCATATATACTTGATTGTCTAATCCCCACATGCCTGTCCATGTTCTGTCATTGTTGTGCAGCTGTTCTGAGTGTACTCACCCCACAGTGGTGAGTTCCACTTTTTTTGAGCATGCCATAGTGCATGTTGATGCCTGCTAGAGGTGCCAAACTGCCATCCCATTGTGTTCCCTCCATCCCCATACCCTTGACTACCTGTAGTCGAGGGAATAACCCTCCACCTGTGACATTGTTGTCATTGCTGTTATCTTCATCTTTGTCTTTGCTGTCTCCATCACATGCTGCCTCTACTCCCCTGCCATCTACACCACTGCTCATGGCCCCACCCAGCATTGCTCTGTCTCTTCCTATCTCCCCTTCACACATCCCATTACCAGCATCCCTTCCACTGTCTCCAACTTCCACAGATAGCTTGTCATTGTCTGACAGCTTCACAGTGGTTCTCCCTGTCTTCATGATGTCCTCAACACAGTCTCAGGTAGCATGATGTGAAAATACCACTCCTGGAAAACCCCTCCCTTCTTGACAGCAGGTGACATTACCCTGGAAGGGTTGTGAAGCTGGGAACTAGGTTGTGAGAATTACTTTTGGCTGAAAAGTGTAGCAGAGGATGTTCAGGTTGCCAAAGTTGTGGGTCACCTTCTGGATCCTCATGTGCAGGACTGGATTAGCAACAATGGCAGTTGACTGACTGCCCTCTCACATAGTGTAGTCACACATTAGTCACAACACATGGGCAGCCTGTGCACCAAAACACCAACACTTATATAGACCCTGAGATAGGGCCTGCCTAAATAGATTAGCCAGTACACATGGACAGGCCTGAGGGACTAAAGTGAGAGCAACATATGTATGGGCCTGTAAGTGCATTACCACAACATATGGGAGGGCTCATGGTGGGTAAGGATGTTGAAACATTTAGATGGGCCTGTGACCAATTAAGAATACTGAGCTGCTGTAAGACATGGATAGGCCCATCCTGGTAGGTTACACCCCTGTCACAACATCAAGGCAGGCCCACCTATCATAACATGGAGAGGGTCACAACATAAGGACAGGTCCAGGAGGAATATCATTTATGCTGTCGCAACATATAAATGGGCCTGTTCATAATAAGCCATACCCCTGTCACAACATAAAGATGGGCCTGTCAATAGTAAGATGTACTGCTGTTGAAACATAAAGATGGGCCTGTCACTAATATCATTTAATAGAGTCACAACAGAAGGTTGGGCCCTTCAGTAGTATTATTTATATTGTCACAACATATGGGCAGGCCTGGCCACAGTAAGATGTACCCTGTCAAAACATAAAGATGGGCCCATCACTAGTCTCATTGAATAGAGTCACAACATATGGATGGGCCCTTCAGTAATATTATTTATATTGTTGCAACATATGGACAGGCCCTTCAGTAGTATTATTTATATTGTCACAGCATATGGGCAGGCCTGGCCCCAGTAAGATGTACCCTGTTGAAACATAAAGATGGGCCTGTCACTAATGGATGTGGTATCCCTGGCACCCACTGAACAGTGGCTTTCAATGGACACCATGCTGGCATGAATCAGAGATGATTTGAGTGACCCAAATCTTGCAAGCTGCACCCTGGATGTATTTGGCATTAATCAGAGTATTTCCAGCCATCCACCAATCTGTATTGAGTGGATGTGGTATCCACAGCACCCACTGAACAGCGGCTTTCCATGGACACCATGCTGGCATGAATTGGAGATGATTTCAGTGACCCAGATCTCACAAGCTGCACTCTGGATGTATTTGGCATTAATCAGACTATTGCCAGCCATCCACCCATCCACATTGATTGGATGTGGCATCCCCAGCACCCCCTCAATAGTGGCTTGCCATGGACACCATTCTTGCATGAATGGGAGCTGATTTGAGTGACCCAGACCTCACAAGCTGCACCCTTGGTGTATTTGGCATTAATCAGACTATTGCCAGCCATCCACCCATCTGTATTGAGTGGATGCGGCATCCCTGGCACCCACTCAACAGTGGCTTTCCATGGACACCATTCTGGCATGAATCAGAGCTGATTTGAGTGACCTAGACCTCACAAGCTGCACCTGGGATGTATGTCCAGGGTGTGCAATTTCATGTTTTTGATATGTTTTGAAAGTCTCCACAATTTTTTGCACCTTTTCCCATGCTCTCTGGAGGATTGTTTCAGTTCCCCAGTGCTCTCCCCTGAAGAGATGAGCTTGGGAATGTTGTGGTGACTGCCAATCAGTAGTACAGTGCTGCCTAGATAGTCAGAATAGCAGTAAACAGCCTAGAACATGATGAAACCCCTAAATACCAGCAGGAAGAGATCATGGCACAACACCTCAAGGTGTCTGCCCCACATAATGAGCTGTTAATATGTGGTAGGTACAGAACTGTCCTAAAAGCTAGTTCATTTTTCAGAAATGTGAACACTTTTTTTGTTTGAGCCCCTAAGATAGTTTCCAGTTTTTCTGAGCCTTTCAGACACTTCATCGATGATCAAATTACATGCAAATACACTTGTTATTCCCACTATGCCAAGTCAGATTACATTACCAGTGCCAAAAAGCCCAGAGAAATATCTTCAGGGTGTAACACAGGGAGGAGGCAATTGTGCCACTACACACCATCCCAGCCTATCAACTTGTGACATGTTGTAGGGACACATGGCCCCTTCAAGGGGACACAATAAATAGATAGACATAACCAATATATCAAAAATGCAATTGCTTTTTCTGGTTTTTCCCCAATCAGACATTGCAATTATTTAGGCCCATTAGGATGGGCAGAAAAGCATTCATTTATGGTCTAATGGACTTATAGTACATGTAACTATCTTATACAATGCCTACAGTGAAGGGACAGAGCCTGGAAAGAAAGGGGAGGCTGGGGACAATGAGGGCAGTGTGTGGGAATGTTGAATATCAGGCACATGCCAAATGAGGACATGTTTCTGGGAGTAGTGGCTGCGCTTTTTTATGCTTATGTAATGACATAAAATTCAGAGGAGTGATGAAAATACACTATGGGGATTTGTGGGGAGAAACTCCAAAGGGCAGGAGGGGGGGTGGGCAGATCTGATCTGGGTCATGGAAGTCAGCTCCAATTCATGTCAGAATGGTGTCCATGGAAAGCTGATATTGAGTGGATGCTGGGGATACTGCATCAGCTCAATATGAATGGGTGGATGGCTGGCAATACCCTGATTAGTGGGACTTGCATCCAGGGTACAGCTTGTGAGATCTGGATGACTCAAATCAGGTCTGATTCATGCTGGAATGGTATCCATGGAAAGCTGCTGTTCAGTAGGTGCTGGGGATACTGCATCCACTGAATGCAGATGGGCAGATGGCTGGCAATAGTCTGATTAATACCAAATACATCCAGGGTGCAGCATGCAAGATCTGGGTTGCTCAAATCAGCTCTGATTCATGCCAGAATGGTGTCCATGGAAAGCCGCTGTTGAGTGGATGCTGGGGATACCTCATCCACTCAATACAGATGGGCAGAAGGCTGGCAATAGTCTGATTAATGGGACATACATCCCAGGTGCAGCTTGTGAGGTCTGGGTCACTCAAATTAGCTCTGATTCATGCCAGAATGGTGTCCATGGAAAGCCACTGTTGAGCAGGTGCCAAGGATACCTCATCTGCTCAATACAGATGGGCAGAAGGCTGGCAATAGTCTAATTAATGGGACACACATCCTGGGTGCAGCTTGTGAGGTCTGGGTCACTCAAATCAGCTCTGATTCATGCCAGAATGGTGTCCATGGAAAGCCACTGTTGAGTGGGTGCCAGGGATGCCACATCCACTCAATACAGATGGGCGGATGGCTGGCAATAGTCTGATTAATGCCAAATACACCAAGGGTGCAGCTTGTGAGGTCTGGGTCACTCAAATCAGCTCCCATTCATGCCAGAATGGTGTCCATGGCAAGCCACTATTGAGGGGGTGTGTCAAGTCTGGGCCTACTCCAACCAACTCCAATGCTGGATGAGGTCCAGGGAGAGGTTTGGAAGCAAGTCCAATGGAAAGAGCAGAACTCTGACTGGTGGAGTGTTGGCAGGAATGAAATCCGCTGAGGTAAGGGCAGAGTGAAGTGAGGGCATTGGGTTTAGCTCATGCACTACCCCCTTGCATGATCTCGGCCCTTGTATTTCAGAGGGGGAGTACAGACAGACAGTCAGAGGTAACTCTGACAGGCAGAAGATGGAGACAGAGGGAGTAGGAACTAAGTTGATATTCATACTGAAGAACAGCAGAGTACAGTACATGCTTTTATACTACTATGGGGGTACAGTAATTGGAATCAGCACTGACATACGGAGACTCATAAAATTTCAAGTAAAACTTCCTAGATGATGAATGAAGGGTAGACAGAGGACATACAAACAGGTAACATAGAACATCCAGAAAAGGAAACAGTCCAGGTGCTGGGCCATATGGTGCATGCACTGTGGAGTACCTGACTATGAGCTGTCAGGGAGGAGTCCAAAGGTAGTCACATGACTCCTCAGAGAATGGTCCATTTGGTCCAGTAGGAGAGCAGTACAAGTCTGACAGCAGTTGGAGCAGAGATGGTTTGTAACTGACAGAAGTTGGGTGGAGTTGGTGTGGAGTGAGTGAACAACCAGGGGAAGAGGGTGTGGAGTGAGTAAGGACCTAGAGTGAATGCATGGTTATGACAGTGCCCCCCCCTTAGGGCCTGAACCCCTGAAGGCCACATGTACAGGACAGGATCAACACAAGTTGATCATTTGAAACCATTTTGATGCCTTGAGGATAATGGCTTTAGCTGCAGCGGAGCTCCATCAGAGTTCAAAGTACTGCTTAAAAGACACATGTCAGGATACTGAACCTTTGTCCTTTCCTCCCATCATCATGCCTTCCCAGTGCCAGAGCAAAACCCCCCAACCAACCGCTTGCCATGTCCACAACTACTCCCAAGTTGTGGATGAAGAGCTGGTCATCCTGACTGATGACTCCACCGACACCAAGTGAGAGAAGTCCACAGAGAAGGCATGCTGATGAGAGGAGGCTGAGTGGAGGGAGAAAGAGTGCAAGGCAGAGTGCAAGGCCAAGCATGAGGAGGCCAAGAGGCAGAAGGTGGAAGAAGAGAGACTGGAGGCAGAGTGGAGGAAGAGAGCAGAGGAGGAAGAGGAGGCTTGAAGGAAGAAGGCAGCAGAGGAGGAGGCAGAAAGACAGAGGCAGAGGGCCCGGGCCAGATGGGATGAGGCTGCACAAAGGTGAGTGGCAGAGTACCATGAGTCAGGCAGAACTGACTTGCAGCCTCATTTTTCTTAGACTATGTGGCATGGTGTATGATGTCAACACCACCCAGAGGGTCCCAGGGACCTCTGTGGTGGTCACTGTGACCAGGCAGCCCCCCTGCACTTGCTGTGTAGTGAGTCTAATGGCAGGACAGTGCAAACCAGGACAAGGCAAGACCAGGGCCTGCATGCCCTGCCACAAGAAGAAAAAGGTGTGTAGCTGGACAAGGGAGGATGTGGTGGTGGGACCATTGCAGAAGAGAGTGGGAACAGGGAGTTCCCGAGGGGAGAAGAAGAAGAAGCTGCAAGGGAAGGGGAAGGAGAGAGTGACAGAGATGGAAGAGGCAGATGATGAGTGGGAGGTAGGCAGAGAAGATGAGAAGGAGCCAGAGACACTGCATGAGGAACCCTCAGGAGTGGGGGCCTCCTCCTGGTGGGCAGAGTGGGAGTGGGAGTGGCAGCTGCAGGCTGCAGAGAGGTACAGGGAGGCACACAAGACAGCTGTGACCGCCTTCAAGAGGATGGCAAGGGCAGCAGAGCAGATGGTGGAGGCTGCAGAGTGGACAGCCCATGAGTGGGGGCTGTACTGTGAGTGGGTGGAATGGGTGGAGATGAGGAGGAGGGAGGATGCGCATGAGGCCAGGATGGCTGAGTTCGAGTGTGCAGGAGGAGGATGGAAAAGGCCTCAGTTGGAGGCAGCAGAAGACAGGAATGAGGAAGCAGATGAGGGCATGGAGGGGGACAATGAGGAGGAGGAGGAAGTTGGAAGAGAGCAGGGAGGTGGTGGAGAACAAGCAATGGAAGAGTAGGGTAGTTTTATTTTTAGTTTGTATGTTTTTGTACTACTATGAAATAGACTTGTAACCTTGTTTGTGATTCTGAGAAGTGAAACAGATAAGTGGAGAAAACTCTAAAGTACTTAAGGGAGTTTGGTAAGGGGCAGAGCTGGCCCACAGAGGAAGGTTGTATGGGTGGAGTACTATGGTGGAGGTTGACATGGGCCAGGTTTGTGCAGATATTGTTCATGGAAAGCAGAGACTATGTCAGAAGTGTGACCTAGCTCAGTTGCAAGCAACCAAGAGGTTTCTTTGTCAGTGTTCTCATAACCAGCCCAGCAGACTAGATACAGGAGTTGACAGTGGTGGTGATGGTGGTCCACCTTAGAGTTGAGTATCTCTGATACTTCATACTCAAGGTCACCATCAACATCCACTGGTGGAGGCAGAGGTTGTTGTCGGTTTGGGAAAGGGTTAGCCACTGTGGCTTCCAGTTGTGAGACATGGAAGACTGGATGTACTAAGCACATAGAATCAGGGAGCTTAAGGGTGATGGAGTGCATACCTGGCCTGGCCAAGATTGTGAATGGACCTAGGTACTTTTCAGAGAGTTTTTCTGCAGGATGAGTGGAGTGGAAGTACTTGGCTTTGATGTAGGCTTGCTCTCCAACCTTAAACCCAGGTGGAGGTATGTGTCTAGCATCTACTGGACCCTGATAGCACTGCTGAGTGGCAGACATTTTGGAGTGGAGGAAGTCATGAAGGGTGGAGAGCTCAATGACATAGTCATGAGCCCTTGGAGAGGTGAAGTCTTGGTCAGGGACCACAGACAGGTTTGGGTGGTATCCTTTGTTAGTGAAGAAGGGAGAAACCCCAGTTGTTGCACTTGGTGTGTTGTTGAAAGTGAACTCTGCTAGAGGTAACAGCTCAGCCCAGTTGTCTTGTTGGTAGTTGCAGTAGACACAAAGGTACTGCTTGAGGGTCTGGTTTGTTTGCTCAGTCTGGCCATTGCCTTCTGGGTGGTAACCCAAAGTGAAGTGAAGATGCATTTCAAGGGCCTTTCCTAGAGAATGGAAGAAGTGTGAGATGAACTCAGGACCTCTGTTGGAGGTGACATTAGCTGGCACTCTGTGCTTGGAGAAGACATGGGTAAGGAAGAGCTTAGTGAGTTTGGCAGAGGTGATGGAGTCATGGGTGGGGGTGAACACTGCTTGCTTTGAGAGGCAGTCCACTACCACGAGTATGGTGGAGTAGCCATCGGAGTTGGGGAGGTGTTTGATGAAGTCCATGGAGATGGAGTTCCAAGGTCTCTCTGGGATGGGGAGTTGCTTCAGTAGACCATAAGGGCAGTGATGCAGAGTTTTGCTCTGTCCACAGGCAGTGCAGGACCTGATGTATTCTTTCACATTGGAGTGGAGGTTATGCCCACATGTAGTCCCTGAGGATGAGTTCTAGGGTGCAGTTTTGCCTGAAATGGCCTGCTAGAGGATGGTCATGCTTGAACCAAAGCACTTGAAGGCAGAGGTCATCAATGTCAGGGACAAAGATGCAACTGTCAAGGCAGAGTAGACCATTGGAGTCCAGGGACCACTGAGGCTTAGTTGGAGTTGGAAGATGGCTGGCAGAGACAGGGTTGGACAGTAGGGTGGAGGTGATGTTGGAATGCAAGCACTCAACATCAAAGACCATGGTGGCATGGAGCACAGGTGCCATGAGGGTAGTGGTATGGAGGGACAATGCAAGTTGCTCCTGTGTAAACATAGGGCAGAGATTGTGAGGATTTACCTGCATGTAGTCCCTATCCCCCCCATCATCATGTGAGTGCATCAGGTTCAGCTCCCAGGCAGCCAGGTCGGGAGCAGATGGAAAGGTTAAACTGTGAAAGGTACTCCAACCAGCAGGCCTGTTGACAAGTGAGGACCTTAGGGGTGGAGAAATACTCAAGGTTTTTGTGGTCTGTCACCACATCAACAGGTAAGGCAGAACCTTCTAGGTAATGCTGCCAATGGTGGAAAGCCTTGAAGATAGCCAACAGCTCCTTGTCATGGGTATCATAGTTGAGTTCTGGTGCAGCCATGGTGTGGGAGTAGAAAGTGACTGGGTGGAGTTCACCATCAGAGCAGGTGATTGACAAAATGCCAGCAATGGCATAGTCAGAGGCATCAGTTTCAACTGTAAGCAGAGCATCAGGAACCCAGTGTGTGAGGACAGGAGTGGAGCTGAAGGCATCCTTCAGGTGGAGGAAGGTGGAGTGACACTCCTTGGAAAAGTTCCAAGGAGCACCCTTTTGTGTGAGGTGAGTGAGCAGAATGATGATGTTGGAGTAGTTGTTAATGAATTGTCTGTAGAAGTTTGTGAAGCCAAGGAAAGACTGGATGTCTTGCACCTTCCACAGCTTAGGCCAGTCGCAGACTGCCTGAACCTTCTCAGCAGACATGGTGAGACCAGAGGGAGAAAGAACATAACTGAGGTACTTGACG